TATTATTAGGAATGCAAAAATCGTAGAATTAAGAGAGTCGATCCATAGCAAGGAAGGGAAGCTCCAGGTTAGTGAATCAAGAGCCTTTCACCGGCAGGTTCTATATAAATTTAACCCAGAATGTCGATTATTTTTTTCTTGAGATAGACTTGTTGCAAAAATTTTCTTTTGTATACCTTCAGCAATTATTATTTTTTATCACAAAGAGCGTTAAAGTCGTACGATCGGTCATATCCTCATAACTAGCTATCAGTACATTTTTTTTTCAGTTACTATTGAATATTATTTAATTCTTAAAATAATTTTGATATTTCAGGGAAAAGGCATAACAGAGTACGAAGGGGGCATTGAGAGAGTAATAATAAAGGGGGAAGGATAGAAAGTAGCATAAAGGCGCGAGAATAGTAATAGAAAATTACAGGGGAGGTTAGAGAGAAGTAATGGAAAGTTACAGGGGGAGGAGAGAGAGAGAGAGAGAGAGAGAGAGAGAGAGAGGAGTAATTGAGAGGCAAAAGGGAGGACGAGAAATGAGTAACAGAAAGGGCCAACGAGAGGAATAATAGAAAGGTACAAGGGTAAGCGAGTGATAACACAAGACAAAACAATAGGAGGGAATAAAGATAGGGAAAAACAGAGCTTAGAGAGAGGGGCACTGGAGAACAAGGTTCAAAAGATAAGGAAACAATCAGATGATGAGGGAAGAGGATACAATAAAACATTCAGAATCCACTCCAGATACTTTATTTTCATTTATTGTAACTTTACAACTGGAAGCTCAAGAGAGGAAAACGCAATAATTTACAAATAGGGACGTGAACTGTACAAAAACAAACAACTCATTATAGTAGCATAGAGTCGCGGTATCGGGAGGATGTACCGCTGTATACAGGTCCTAGCAAGGGTGCTCTGAGAACCCACCCTCGCCAGTCTTACATTGACACAAATAATAAAAAAAAAACATAAAAAATGCATACAAATCCATCAAGGCTGGTCACAAATCACCACACTTTTTTCAGGTTCACAAAAAAAAATTGCATCTGTATATTGTTTTACAATTTCATTGTTGGTCAACAACACTACCAGACACTTAAGATGTTCTTCGATGATTTTTTTTTCATATAGTGAAGGTGGGTTTGGTGGTGCACACTGCTCCCATGATGGGGTTGGTGGTGCACACTACTACCATGATGGCTTTAGTGGTGCATACTAACCCATGGTGGTACCGTATCTCACTGGGGTGTACAGGAATGATTGAGAGGGGGTAGGGGGGCTTATTTGGCTAAGCTCAAAAAAAAAAAATTAGATCAAATTTAATAGGTAACAGAACTTAACAGTAACCTGAATCAATATCGTTGAAAGTTTGGCAAAGGAGATTTCTTAAGTATTTATAACCAGATCCTTGATCTGAAGTTTTAAGCGTGGAAAGAACATAAATTTATCATGGAAATGGTACCAAGAAAAGGTCCAATTATATCACGATATACACAGATCAATTTATAAAGATTCATATTTCAGGGAAAGACCCCGTTTGTCTCAATAGAAATTCCATATTACGTATATTTAATGAGAGTTGAATTGGCACTTGGACACTCAAGTTTGGACTGTCAAAATCTCCTTGTTGTGTGTGAGTAGCATCTCCCCTGCAGAGGGTATTTGGGCAGCTTTCCATAACTCCTGCATAAGGTTTTGTGGGCCACTTTCCCCTAACCACTACAGAAGGTATGTAGGTAACATTCCCTAACCCCTGCAGTGGATATGTGAACACCTTTCCCTAACCCCCTGCAGAAGGTATGTGGGCGTCTTTAACCCCTGCAAAGGGTGTGGGGCACCTTTCCCTAATCCCTGCAGAGGTTATGTGGGTAGCTTTCCCTAACCCCAGCAGAGGTATCCACGAAGGAGCCCTCTGCATTCAGCCACAACAAATATCTGTGTAAAGTGCAGCAGAACCTGGCCTCGGCGTCGAGCAGCGTCGCACAGCACATTATTAAGTACACACAGGCCAAATGTAAACATTATTTAAGATCAACAACCCAAGGGATTAAGTCACATATCACATGGGAAACAAGACATAGATTTATATAAAAATATCAATGTACAAATAATCCATATCGTAATTACATTTACAATTTCAACCGAGATTTGGTGTACCATGGATGAGAAAGGCTGAGCAAAACAGAAGGGCAGCCATGGTCTCCGCACAGCCTAAACTGATACAACTAGTTACTTTGCCTTACAGACCAGCCATCACCGATAGTGTTCATGGTCATGTTTTGTTTAAGCAAGCCAGCGTCCCTCCCTCCAGAAGCACGCCATCGTGTCTCTGATATGGTCTCCCTCTCCCACAAGGTGTGTATGTGTTGCCTCTCTTCCAGCAAGTCATTCACTTCTCCAGCACCGGGTAGTATACGTATTGTTTTATTGTCTCTGTCTCTCTCAATTGTCCACTCATTGCATTTACTTTCTAAATGATCTTGCGCGTGAAGTTTTGTATATCATGTTTTAACTGAATATAGTAACTAATTATAATAATTTATATAATAATGGCCAACCACCAGCAAGTAACATTTTCTCTAAGATGTAGGAAGGGATTTTATTAAAGTTTCTCGTCATTTAATATATATATAATATATAAATTTTATATATATATATATATATATATATATATATATATATATATATATATATATAATATATATATATATATATATATATATATAGTGTATCAAGGAATGAATTTAATAATCCACACAGGCTTTCCCCAGCAGAACACAAGTCTCTCACTGTTGTTTCATATAGGTTTTGTATCAACTATATATGATTGCTTATTAATTTCTTGTGTATTATTGTGTGTTGGCCGTAAGACTCATTATACGACTCGAGTGGGTATGAGAACGACCCCTTTGGTAAGCAAGGGCATGTCACTAGTCTCTGGCTGGTATCACGCACAGTATCTGCAGCTGGTATGATTTACATCCGTTCTCAACACCGCCGAGGCCAGTGTGGGGTTAGAAAGGTGTGGGGAGGGAGGCGAAGATGACCAAGGGATAGCTAAGAGAGAGGATATTTTTATGGTTGTTCTGCCGAGTGGGAAGGGTGGAGGTTAGACTCGAGGGGGTGGATGGGAGATCTGGGCAGTTGTAAAAGATGGTCAGGACAAGCAGGGAGGTCAAGGAGCAGCAGCAGCAGCTCGAGTGTAAAGGACAAGACGCCTTACTACGCACGGCTGCGCATGTTGTGGCTCCGGCCTGCTGCTAAATCACGCTTGACAACCCCTGATTACCGCGGGATGCGAAGGGCTTGACGAGTGTGCACTGGCTTACTCCTCCGCCCTTTGTATTGCTGGCAGCATGTATCATTCTAAAATTAGCCCCGCCGGCACCGCCTTAGCAACCCACCAACATGCTTCATCCTCGAGATGTGATTGTGAGCGCAGAGTCGCGCTATTATCGTACCCCGCCACTCCGAGGATCATATGTCATATGATAAAGCGTTGGTGATCGTACATTCCCCGTCTGCTCCAGCTCCATTCTCCCTATTATGTGGAAAGCTGAAGGACGCAAGTTGTAGAAATGCTGCGCACTTAAATATTACACTTAATATTTAAATGTGCTTGCGGTCTCGTCTGCATGGCAGCCCTTCGATTATAATGATATTCTTGGGTGAATGAAGACGACCTCTAAGCTGCTGCTGAGACGAGGTGGATAGGTAAAGACGCGGCGGGGGGGGGGGTGAAGGACGAGGGGGGGTCGAGATAAACACGTCAGGTATATACTGTTGCAAGCTTTTTAGTGACTTCCGGCGTGGTGTAGGCGCTGGTGGGAGCCGAGCGTGCAACCTCTGGGAATGATGGACTCGGTGATCAACAGGCCTTCATGATTGATGCGAAACATATCTGGCTGGCTTGCCTTTGAAGCCGCCGGGCTCACGTCTCGAATCGTGAAACTCATTTCAGATAGGCGGTATCTCATTAAGGATGAATTATCAGGCGCCCTCTACGAAGATGCGTGTGACGGGAGGAGGCGTGGCGGACGAGCCTACGGCAGGGCCAGCGACCCTACCTGAGACCCACAATGACGAAAATAAAAGTAAACAATTATCTGATGCACGCTAACGTGTAGTAAGGGAGTCCCAGAAGACATAAGATCGTTAAGAATTTCACTATAATATGAAGACTTGGGAATGATACTGATGGAACTACTAGACATTAGACAGCCTACAACACATGAGACATGGAGATGCGAGGGGCAAACAGGTCTACAGTGTTACTGTTTGCCAGGGCAAACCTACAGCGTGTCACTGTTTGCTGGAGCAAACAGGCCTACAGTGTTACTGCTGGGGCAGACAAACCTACAGCGTGTCACGGTTTGCTGGGGCAAACAGACCTATAGTGTCACTGTTTGCTGGGGCAGACCTATAGTGTCACTGCTGGGGCAAACAGACCTACAGCGTGTTAAAGGAGTGCTGTGGATTTTGAAGAGGTGCAAAGATCTGGGGATGATTGTGAGGTAGTGTTGTGACCTGTGACTTACATAAATATGACATCATCATTGAGAATGATCCATATGGCTGTGAAGTGTAAAACAGTGTCGTGACTTGGTTGCAAACTAGCAGGAATCAATATTAGGAGGATCAACTAGCAGTGGTTCAGAAACCAGTTATGTCGTCAGTTAGGGAATAAAACTAGATGTGTCTCAACATGTGGGGGTTAAGTAGCAAATTAATTTTGTGTGTGTGGAAGGAGGACTTTGCCAGGTGGGGGTGAGTGGGAGGGTGGGTGGGTAGGCGAGGGTGGCCTGCTGGAGGTGGTGGGGGCGAGGCTGGTGGGGGTGACGCTGCTCACGCCATGACCCAAGGTGGGGTCTACCTACCTGCCTGGGGTTCCAAGCCTTGCAGATTAGTTCTGTTGGTCAGGCGCATGTTTACACTAGGAATAAAGCATTGAGATCACTTTCAGCAAGTCAAAGACAGCATATTGTAAAAAGGATGATATTGATACATCATTGATGTTTCCCAAATAATTATCAACAATCAATTTGATCATTGCCATGTCAGCTTAATCTTACATTGTCTATATATTAATACCTATGTGAAAAAGTGACAGAAAGTGTGAGCGATTAAGAGTTTGCGACGACCCGGGACGATCACATCGTGGCGGGCGTGTGAGGATACACAGGGTGAGGCGAGGGCGCGCCGGGAGGCAGGGGGCGCCGCGCCCTCCCGCGGCCGCCTGCAGGTCCTTGGTGGTCCAGGGGCGGCTGTGGGCGCGGGCTCCCTCGCTACTACGGGCGTGGCAACAACCCAGCCCGCCCACAACACACACTTTGTACTCTGTGGGTTGTTTTGATTGTTGGCACGTGTCTTTCCTGCGGGCGGGGGGCGGGAGCAGCGCCCACTTAACAATCCCGGGCGGCGGGTGATATGAAGGGACCCCGGCCGCCGCCGCCTCCAAGCTGCCAGGTATCACAAGACTACAGGGGCCACCAAGCTCTCACGAAGGATAAATAGTTACACTGTACACACGAGCCACGCCACACTGTACACGGGGCGGGCGGGGGCGGGGGGGTCTTTGGCGGGCGCGGGTGGGGATGTGGGGAAGGGCGGCCATCCTTAGGGCAGTGGCCGCCACTACTTGCTGGACAGCTGCTTGGCCAGCTCCGTGTACTTGAGGAACTTGGAGTGTGGGGACTCCTCTACAGGTGGCGCTGGAGGCGTGGCCGCCTTGGTAGCGGCTGGTGGCGGCTTTCCGCTGCTCGCCTTCCCGCCCGCATTCTCGGGAACGACACCGTCTTTTACAAAGTGCATCTTCGAGAGATGGTGGCGATAAGCGCCTTTACTTATAAAGGGAGTGTCACAGAAGGCGCATTTCATGATGCTGTCGGCAGTCACTGCATCATTACACGCCCAAGAAAATGCTAGGATTGCTCCTGGATTGGTCTGTGGTCCGGCAGACGCCCCGCTCACTGGTGGCGGCCGTGGTTGAGTCTCTGTCTTGTCACACAGCTTCTGTAGCGCCGCCAGAGGGTGTGAAGAGCTACCTTCACCACCGCCGCCACCGCCTCCAAGTAGGGCTGAGAGGCCCCCTAGACCAGCCGCCCCAAGACCGGAGCCTGAACGCCCTCCTACGCTGGCCTCAGAGTGAGGGGTGCCAGACCTGCTACTGCAGCCCGCCGGGGATCCCATCAGCCGTCCTGCCGGAGACTCGCGCCCGATATCATGTGTGAGGTCGTTCTCATCCTCGTCTCCTTCCTCTTTCAGTTTGAATTCCTCTTTCACCCGTATCTCTTCCTTTACTCTGAGATCCTCCCTAGCAGACAATGATTCGCGGTCACTAGCCTCTCCATTTATTTCCAGAGGTTCTTGTTTTACCTCCTCCCTGCCACAAAGACTACCATGTTCGTTATCAGAATGATCAGCGCCATTCTCTGTAGGTGTGATTTCCTCGGGGGTAGCGGCAGCGGGATGGCTATCAGGTCTCAGCAACTCTAGAGACCTCTCGCTACCGCTACCGTCCCGTGTTATCGAACCCGTGGAGGCCGGGCGCGACCCAGGCCGCGATGGTGACCGTGGGAATGTGTCACGGGTGTCAGAATCTGCACTGGGGCTCATCATAGAATCCCCCAAGCCTCGCAACCCCGAGCCTCTGTCGCTCGAGCCAAATGAAGGTGGTAAATTGAAGGTGGATGGTGTACCAGCACCGTGTGGTGGTACACCATGAAGTCGGGAGAACGTGGCATACATTCCCACCAGCTGTGGGTCCATCAGTGGCTTTGAATAATCGGCGCTTTCGTCAATACCAAGCCGACGGAGAATACTAGAACCTAGAGGTCCGGCCCCGGGTTTTGCCTTACCAGAATCAAAACTCTTTTCGATCAGTTTTTCGAGTGCATTTAAGACAGATGGAGATTCTGACGCACCACGACCCTTTGGTTTATCAAAGTCTCTCTCCCTCGGGCTATCACGGGGAGTTTTCTCTGGTGTCTTCTTGCCTTCACTGTCTGTTTCAGGAGCAGAGTCCAGCTTGTTGCTGTAGTCACTGTCAGGGGAGAGCAGCGCTGACTTGAGCAGATCACGGGAAGAAGCGCCTACACAGTTGCGGATATGGTCTACGAATAACGAAGTTTCTATCTTGTCACCACACTTTTCACATGAGATACGTCCAGACCCCGAATGTTCCTTCATGCCCCTTCCGCCCTCCGATGAGGAACGATATTCCTGCTGGGCCCGCTCCAGCTCCAGCAGCTTACGTACAGGTAACGACTTCTTACGTTTCTCCCTAGTCTGCCTTCGCCGTGCTCCTGATTCCGTAATGGATCTCATGATATGCTCCTTGTAGTGCGCGTTCTTTACCATGTGATTACTGAGTTCTTTGAGCGAAGCAAATGCTTGGTCACACACTTTACAGGTAAGAACGGCATTCACGTGGCTCTGGCTACTAGATTTTTCTTCGGGGGATTTCCATGAGATAATCTGCTCCTGAGAGATTATATTCGTATAGTGTTGTGTCTGCTGCATATGCTGGGTCATTTCGGCCAAAGACTTGAAGCTCTGACCACACCACATACACTTGAGGATCTGACGAGTCTGTTCGGCACCTTTGCCTAGCCACACGTCCTGACCACGCACAAGTTTCCTGGGCAACGGCATCGTCTCCTTAATACTTGACATCAGATCACTCGAAGATGAAGAACCTGACGCAATCGAGGAAGAGGAAGAAGGCGCTTTTGAGGTCGGCGTCTTGTTGGGCGTGTACTGGGGCGGCAGATGGGTGTGAATTGAAGTGGCGCTGGATGAAGGAGGTGGGATTGGTGGCGGCAGGTTGACCCCACAATGCTTGGCCTCTTTCATGTGAGTCGTGAGCTCCGCCAGTGTGTTAAATGAAGCTTTGCACCAGACACACTTAAGAACGTCCTTGGTAGCGTCCTGACCCTTGCTAAGCCAATGACTCTGCCAAGCCGTGGCCCGACCGGAGCTGCCGCTAAGTCCACTCCTGAAGAGATCCAACCCGCTGTCGCCGCCCAACCTGCTCAATTCGCTCATTCGTTCCAAAGCTCTTGAGCCTTCCGACTGCGAGGGTGGCACTGCACCCATGGGGAATGCTGGAAGCTTAGTGGAAATACCCTCACTCTTAATCTTTCCATTCCAGAGTGGCAGCTCTGGCTTGAGTGCTGCCAAGTCGGGCCTGAGAGCCATGGCACTAGCAAGGTGGGGTGGGAGAGGGATGCCCCAAGCACCCAGCCCCTTGGCCAGATCATGGTGCATCTTGTTCTGTGCCGCTTCCAGCAGTGCATCCGCTGCCCTTTTGCGAGGCACTGACAAGTCAAGTGGAGAGTCACCGAGGCGATGGAGACCCGGTGGGGGAGACCCCGCTAGAGACGACCTGGCAGATATGCTGAGATTGTCTTCCCTGGCATAGGTTGGTGATCGTCGTAGGGAAAAATCGAGAATATCAGCCTCGTTGTCGGAGACTCGCATGAAGGAAGGCGACGAAGTCAGTGGGCGAAGTGCAGGCGGTGTGGCCCTAGGTGACCCTAATGGTGCTGGGGAAGAGTTGAGGGATTCCCGTGGAGAGTGTCGTGGTGACATCTTTGGGGATAGTCCCTCGCGCGACGCCACACTCCCGCTGTCCCTGAGAAAAATAAAAAGGAAAAGAAATAAGTTAGTTTCACGTATCTTAAGCAAATTATCAGCACATAAAAAAAAAAAGCTCTGCCCGTTTTTAGCATTAAATTTCAAAAGTCCCTATGGTAAAGGTTCACACGTGAAGTGCAAATGAGGAACATACGATGGAAGGTTATGTAAGTGCTCTGCGGTGTGGATACTGTGCAGTGTATGCACTCTGAAGTATGTGTGTACTCTGCGATGTGTGTATACTCTGCAGTGTGAATACTCTACAGCGTGTATTCTCTGAAATATGTGTACTCATGTACTTACCGACGATGCCTGGGGCTGGAGGTTACAGAGTCTCCCTCCTCGCCGTCAATGCCAGGTTCCTTTCCTTCGCATTCCTCCCCTGCAAGAAGATAAACACGTTTTAATTATCTAACCGCAAGCACAATATAAAGACTAAAAAAGTGCAAATAACTTATATTAAATCCCACTGGCAAGAACGCTGTGTATATATACTATCAGCTTCTCAGGAGTCATGTGATCATCTATGGCAATTCACAGACAATGGCAAGCGTCTGAGAATGATTCTGTATTTTTTTTTTTTTTACTTTAAAAGGTCTTCAGCCTCGGTGCGAGGCAGATATATACAGATATCTTTTAAGTTTTGTCTTCGAAAGTAGGTTTTAATTTGAATTTACCAGTGTATTACAACACTACTTATTTTGTAAATATATTATGAAGCTGAACACTTCTGAAGGCTGAGGGACTGACCACCTCAAAACTACTAATTCATGGCTGAGGGACCGATCATCTTATCTTTACCTCTCCACCTGCTGCTTTACTCGACTGAAGAAGCCTGAAAAGGAGCCGAAACATTTCGACAAAGATATACCTAATGGCGTTCCAGCACACACTACGATTGTGTAGGTCACACTAAACGATGCCCACGTAGTACTGAACGCTGCCATATCGTCCAGAGACGTGCTGGCACCACTGGGAAGTGGAGGGGGAGGGAAAAGCGGCTTGGACACTCCAACGGTGATTGGTGTCGCTGGTCTCCGCAGGCCGGGTGATTAGGAAGTTATTAAAGGTCCGCCACCACCAAAAACCAATTACTGCTAATGACGCGACCACGTTCCTTGGTCGGCCACAATACCCCTTAACCTGATGACCAAAGGGGTACGCTCGGCCCTTCATTAGCGTAACTACTTGATCAAACTCTTCTTTTCGCAGTGTCATTAATCTATAGTGAGGTAATGAACTCAATAAAGGTCTCAAAGAGCGGCTCCGAGTGTCAACAAAGGACGGATCCCGCTAGCTTTGAGAACACTGAAAAACGGCCTCACGAGAGAGAGACGAGGGTGAGGGAGCAAGGAGGAGGATCCAACACGTTTTCTCATCCTCATCTTCAAGGAAGCCCAGGGACTCTCGTACCTTATATAGTAAGTACAGCAAGTCAGTGATTCGCCCTGTTATCTGAAAATCCTCTCTACTCTTCATTTCTCTTTCTAAACGTTCAAGAATGTATTTGTTTTCACAATTGATACTGCAAATTCTCTTTCCTTGCATTTTGTTTCAGGTTCTTTTTTTTTTTTTTTAACGCCGGACAGTCTCCCACCGAGGTAGGGTTACCCGTAAAAGAAGAAACACTTTCACCATCACTCACTTTATTACCGTCTTGCCAGAGGCACACCGACATTACAGCTCAGATGCCCCTTCAAACTGTAATATCCCCACCCCTTCAGAGTTCAGGCACTGTACTTCCCACCTCAGGATTCAAGACCGGCTAACCAGTTTCAGTAAATCTCTTCACAAGTGTTACCTTGCTCACACTCAACAGCACGACAAATCATAAAAACCACTTAGTCTCCCTAACATGCTCATACACACGCCTGTTAGATATCCAAGCCCCTCGCATACAAAACCTCTTCTACCCACTTCTCTCCAACCTTTCAAAGGGAGTTTTTCGTATGCTAGGTTAATTTTGTCATAGCATGGGGATTGATATATCATCAGCGTACCTTCATAAAGCACAACAGCAACACAGTGAATTTCCTCTCCTGAACTCATTAAAACATCAAACAACATGAGACTGGAGACATCTTGGGGTGTGTCTACTGCCATTCTGTGTACCTTCGAATATTTTACCTGAAACACTAATATAGCTCCTTCGTCTTTTAGATATTCCTTAATCCAAATCAACAGTGTCACACGAGTGCCGGGCAGGTGGGTCGCATCCCTTCCCTTTTGAACGTTTGAAGTAAATCCTATTGGTTAATATTAATTTATTTGTAAATAGCGTGTAACTAGGACTATTTGGCAAGTTTGACATGTGTGTAAATATATACTTAAATGTACTCCTGTCAGCTTTCTTAAAAGCCTGGTCTCTAGGTCGTTTTGCAACTATATGCGCTTGGGCTACCGTCCAGAGGATGGATATGGGGTGCACAATAAACTAGCGGCTTCGGCGGCAAAAATTATAATTAAATTTGGTAATGTATCCCAGCAACGTTGTGCTTGGTGGTAGCAGCAGCGCTGGTGACTGGTGATAGTGGTGGTAGAAGTGCTGGTCGGGGTACCTAGCAAACACTGGTGACTGGTGGTAGCAGCGCTGGTGACAGTGGTGGTAGCAACACTGGTGACAGTGGTAGTAGCAGCGCTTGTTGGGGGTACCTAGCGAGCACTAGTGGTGGTGGCATGATAACCAGACCTATTAACACCCCGGACATTGGCCACATACCCAACCCTTTCACTGTTAACACTTACTAATTAACCTGACTGCACACGTGACACCCACAATTCACCATCATTACATTTTGCCGCTCGGCAGTGTTCTCATTATGAACACTGAACACCATTCCAACGGGCTATGATGGAACTTGTATACCTGTGACCGTTTCGATTACTTGACCAGCTAGGCTGTTGTTGCCAGCGGCCTACACGATATACCTTTAATGAGTTTCGAGAGAGTTTCTACTCCCGAAGCCCGGCCATGGACCAGGCTCATCTGGAGTGTACAGCTGAAAGTTAAAAAACACAGATGAGTCACAGGGATATTAGAAAATCTTTCTCCAGCGTGAGAGTGGTTAGGTGAAGTGGAACGCCTTAGACATGAAAGCAGTAAAGGTAGGATCCGTGTACAGCTTTAAGAGTATGTATGGTAATGCTCATGAAGCCAGAAGAATAACCCCGCCAGCTGAGAGGCAGGCCAGGAGCTAAGATCTGACCCTTGCAACCTCAAATAGGCTTTGCAACAGTGCTGAAAGTATAATCGTGCATTGAATGGATCATCAAAACATTCCTTGGGTCGCACTGAAAATGGGTTGAGGAAATATCTTTGTTAGTTTGGATTTGAGAAGGACCTGTCCAGTATGGGCCAGTAGGTCTACTGCGGTGTTCCTCCAGTCTTATTTTCGTGGTTGATAGATATTTTCATATAACTCAGCCGCGAGTAGTAGTGAGTTCTAAAGTTTGAGTGAAAATAGAGAATAAGACGTAAGCAGCAAGGCCTGGAGTTGCAACATTGACTCTCCAGCTGCAACATTATCCTAACAGCTGCAACACTGGCTCACCTTCTCACGCAGACACAGTTTAACAAGACTTAAGATTCACACAGCATACTCGAGCCAGTTTGTAAAGATTTATAGTAGTTCTTATATAATAAACGTTATTTTAGTTTATTATATTTTTGTTAACTCAGTAGATGGTGGTGGTGGACGGGCGGTGGTGATTACTGTGACTGGTGGTGGTGGTGAGGGCGGTGGTGATTACTGTGACTGGTGGTGGTAGTGAGGGCGGTAATAATTACTGTGATTGGTGATAGTGGTGGGCAAGCGTGGTGATTACTGTGGGTGGTGGTAGTGATGCTGGTGGTGGTTTGTATGCTGCTGCGTTCTGTCTGGACCCGGAAACTGCGGTATTCTATATTTTCCATCACAGAAATGTTTATATTCATATTGGCAATACGAGAATTTATACAATGACACAGAAGACTCTCTGAATATCAATACCCCCTGTTAATATATGGGAACAGCTGTATGTCCTAACACCTCCCTACAACGCATTATTAAACGCATTAAACACCTAACGCACGGACACGTACCCTAACGCCCAGTTAAGAGTAAGGAATAGGAGCTGAGACTCGACTTCCCGAACGCAAGCACGCACGAGGAAAGAACGTCAGATCTAGGGGAAGATATGTCTAGAGAGGTTAGAATGAGACTCCGTTTGGACGTTAGAGAAAGGTAATGTAAACATTCAGGTGTGTGTAATGGCGCAAGCCACCAATATGTGTGTGGCGGTGCCACTAGTCATCAGGATACCACCCGTCACTTGTGTGTCAAGTCGGTGACCGCAGAGTGCCCATTCCTGACACTTCCAGCATACAATTTGAGTAGTAGTTTGTCAATCTTCAAACAGTACAAGACTCAGGAGAAAATGATACGATGAATTATGAAAACTGAGATAATAAGACTATCAAGGCGCTCTAAGACAACAGACTGCAGTAGTTGCCTGAAGTTAAAACGAGTGAAATAACGGAATTTGCGTTATAATTTTAGAAATAGGGAAGAGAGCCAACATCTGAACTACGGGAATTGCCTCGTCTAACTGGTAATATACAACTTAAGGCGTGCATTAATGCTTTATAAATCATGAATAAACTAATTACCTCCTATTTCACAGACACTGTATGATCCCTACGGAATAATAATAATAATGATATAATAATAAAGCAAAATATTCGAAAGCCGGATCATTGTTTTAAAGATATTTCACATTGTCGCAAATGCTACTGTTAACCCCTTTTGGGGCCTAACTGTTAGGCCTTTTGTACATCCACATGCTCTTGCGATATGATCCACAGGATAAATATGAGCCCCTTCCCCCCTCAAACAATAGTTTCTTCAGCGGCAAAATCTAAATCTAATCAAATACTCTTAATCAAGTCCGTGATAAAGCAACGGTTCACGATGCAATATGGGCAAAAAAAAAAAAATAATGTTGATATCTGAAGTCTTTGTGTGATGTAAATGGTTCAGAAAACTTGACAAGTTGAAGAATGAGACACTTGTACAACATTTGGAAATGTTTACTGAGGAAACGCTTCGCCAGCCAGTGGTTTCTTCAGTCCAATACAAATAAAAACGGTGAAAGATGAGCAGTTCGAGGTAATCAGTCCCTCAGCCTGGAGTCTATATATTCAGTCCATCAATCTTGAGAAGTCTTAGTGATCAGCCTCTTACCAGCTGTCACCACTGTGAAGGGTTTCAAGGAGTTTACCAAGTGGCAGCAACACTTACATGGGTGTGAAGTATGGGTTGTGAATGTTGCAGCGAGGAGGTAGTGAAGATGTGTATGAGGGGCAATGTGTGGTGTAAACATTCTTCAAGATGACAAATCAGC